ACTCCAACCACAAGCTGCAAGCCACTAACAACGTGCTTATGCAATTTCTTCAAATGTCAGCAAGAAGCTCTTTGCAGTTGCCAAAACGTTGTGGAATTTATTGCTAAAAGTGCAATTAACATTTTCGCAAACGTCATATCCACAAAAAGGCAAAGCAACTATTTGCATGAAAGTAACTCTGTTACAGATCACTTCAATGAAATGAGCGAGAGAAAACGCTCTACCTAACACTAACAGAAACGAAAAAAAAAAAAGGAGGAAGGTGTTTTAATATTTTTCTCTCTCTTAATTTAGCGGAAGAGCAGACGGTCGAATGTTATATTCAAAAAACGGTCAAATGTTATTAGTCATATCGGAATATCTTATCGTAAACGAACCGTTTTCTATTCTTGATATACTTAGCAGTTATTATTGTATTCACATAAGCAAATAATTACTAGTTCAGATTATATCAAATCACCAACAAATTGTGAATATTTCTTTTTATATATTGGTGATATTCAATGATTTCAAACAATTGGAATTCAAGTTTGATGCTGCATCTATTTGTGAAGTAATTACTATCTTAACAAAAATTCATACTTATCAGTTTTCAAATTTAATTTGCATTTTGCATTGTTCGATCATGCTGTTATTATGCTGATCTATCTTAGTGTGAAAAACTCTCAATGAGACACTTTATAAAACCAAACGGATAAAGTACCTTATTGTCTAAATGCCGCAAGCGATACCAAAATGCAACTGTTCATGGAACGCAATCAAAAATGTGTGACGATGATTGACTTTAATATACATGTCATTGGCTAACTGAGTTTGACAGCATGGAGTACAGGCACCTAGCCATTCTCCAGCACCAAGGAAATCCGACGATTATGCTCAACCTCATGGATGCTCCACCGAATCTCGTCCTCAAATGGACTGGATATCATTCTGCACCCCATGGAGCGGTGTGCAAAATTTGGACGCCCCTGGACCATCATCGATGCAGTCACCAGTACTCATCTAATTCCAAACAGCGGAAGTTGCATACTTTCCTGTACAGCTAAGCTACGCCCTGCGCTAGCCCCAGCAGCAGCACGAGACGGATGGAATTGTCCTTTTTGGACCCACCCGCAACGAGCTTCAACCATCAACCACTGCTGGACAGCATCCGAGCCAACATCACCATTACTCCAGGAGAGCTAAATCCAAAACCGGAAGCAGTCCAACAACATCACATGAGCAAGGTTCGTCTAAAAGAAACAGTTGTCATTCCTAGCCATCAGTCAAAAATAATTTCACTATGCTTGCACCAGAAATCGATATCCGTAGCTCATAAAAATCTGTAGAAAAAAAACAGTAGCTATAAATTTCAGTTGTCTTGTTTATAGACGATTTCGCACTAATTAAATGTAGCCTTTAAACATTACAACGATGATTTGCATAATCAAGCCATAAATGAGCAGCAACAAACTTTCCATAAAAACCAATTATATTTTGTTTTAATTGTAAGAAAAACTTAGTATGTAAGAAATTTCGCTTATCATCTTATCACGTTATGATAACATGCATTCTGGAAACGTCTTTTCTGCCTTTGTCTTTTCTTTCTGTTCCAGGTGCTCGATTCGCGATGTGGCAAATTCGGATCCTCGCAGCCAAACCGACGCATTAAATGACATAAGCCGTCGCCTACAGCTGCCCGGAAGCCATGAAACGCCCGTCCGCAAACCAAGCGCCTCGACACTTATTTCCTATCGGGATGCACACCGGATGCACATCGTTGGACGCAACGATGAACGTTGGACGCAACGTTCCCCAAATATTTTTCTTTCTGTCTGAGACGTTTAGTCCCAACCAGTATTGCATAAAATCACTCAGCATTCAGCATTGTAGCAATGTCTATACTTGCGTAGTAGGACACCATTGTTGTTTGCATTTAATCTTAAGTTCACGTAATAATTTAAAACCATTCAGCATTGTACCAGTGTCAATAATTGCGTGTAGCATAAGACCACATTGTTGTTTGTATTTAATCTTAAGTTTATTTAAAACTAAAACTCATTCAGCATTGCAACAAATTCATTACTTGCGAGTATGAAAACATTGTTGTTTGTATTTAGCCTTAAGTTCATTCAATATTTCCAGTTCATTTAATAGTTTAAGTTTGTATAATAATTCACATTTTCTTACCAATCAAAAAAAACTTTTCTTTCATTTAGTAAAACTTATGTAAAACTCTTATTAATTACTCGACATATTGGTCACTCATTCCTAATGATGATTAGAATTCACTTATATTGTAATGTTACGTAATTGTTAACTTTTCACTTGTATGATCTATCTAATGTTAATTTATTGAAACATTTTTTTTTTTGAAAAACTTCGTTTTTTGCGAAAAAAGGGGAGGTGGTGTAGGACCCCCACCCGCACCTCCTGTATATATTATTAGTATGAGATCAACTGACGATACTTTTAGGGAAAGGCGGAGACCTTTGACCGCCGAGC